TTTAAAACGCGTTGCTTGCATAAAACTGACCAGACACATTCAATTTACCAGACTATTGAACAACTAGAAAAAGTGAAAAAAATACTTCTTATCGCCAGCATAAATGCGTAATTATTTTTTTTACAGAAAAAGTAATTTTTCACCTTTGATTAAGTAGCGGGTCATAGAATGCAGATACGGGCATGGCAAACACACCTTTGTAAAGCTTGAAGTCTGGCGATTCTAAAAATATATACTTTCCTGGGTCTATTTGTAGTCATTTGGTCACAATTAGAAGATGAAAACAAGTATGCAAATAATAGTCCCGCTACCTTAAATCATTCTAACATAGTTCAATCAAGAACAATATTTTGTTATTTATTTAAGAAAGATAGATTGAAAACATTTTAGAATACAATATTATTATATTTAAAAAGGATGTTCCTGTGAAATTGACATTGTTCTGTGCTCATTAAAGAAATACATCCCCAATCTTATATGTCATTCTCTCTAGCTGAATCATTTCCGTGAAATCATAGTGACTAAAAATAAATTATTAATTAAAAAATTTAAAATTAAAAAAAGGCTATTTTAATAAAAATTTATTTTATTAACCTGACTATCTTTGTTATAAAGCACTGTTAATATCGTATTTTATTTGTGAATGCATGTCCATCAATACATTATGATGTCATGCCCAAATATAATCATATATAATATAATCAGCATATTTGTAAGCATATACTCGTGACATCATAGGCTAGAGTAATATCCACTCGTCTTTGATTTGTGGATAAAAATAGTACATAACATCATTTGTATAAATTTCTCAAACAAGTGATATCAGATGATAACCTCATTTTATTCTGACTGAAAAATTCTGGATATTTGTAAACTTGTTTCTTCAAAAGTGATCATATACCTCGTATTGCCGACCTCAGAATGCTATGGGCTAAGTGCGCCCTCACATCATTTCCTGTATCACACCTGGCCCAACGTGCCCGACTTTCATCATTCGAAACAGAAAGCATCATTGTAAATTATGTTGTGTGTTTGAGGCTATGTTGTGGTAAAATTGTAAGTACACCTATACTGGATATATGAAAAAAAACTTTGTGGACCGGATACAGCTTTTTGGCAACTTACCAGCCCTCGCATGCTTGGGTGAATCTGCTGCATGACCTCAGGCCGCAAAAAGCCGTATTCAGTCTTTAAGGAATATTACTGTCAGTACTTTTTTTTTTTTTTTTTACATCACACGATTCGGTCACCTGATCCCCAAATCATGAAAACTATATAACCAGAAAAGTTAATTGAAGCAGCTAAACTGAAGACAGCAGTCCAGCTGTTGTTGAAAGCCTCTAGAATGTGACCACTGATGTAGACTCCAATAAACCCGGGAAGTGATGACAGAGTATTCATAACACCTGAAAGTATGAAAAGTCAATTAAAGCCAGTTGATATATCCTTGGATATAAGGTCTTGCGTATCAGCGCTCTAAAGTTCACACATCCTGGTACTATTTGGGGGTTTTTGTTTGCAAAATTAAATTCCATTTTTTACCATTTCAAACTGTTTTTAACTTCAATGACAACATTTTTGAAAAAAAAAAAACTTAATAAATTCTTATTGAAAATAATTTTTCTTTGAGTGCCACAATGAACTTTAAACACCCAACTGCCCTATATAATGAGTATTCAAAGTAATCCACTCAGATGCATGCAGATTATCTTCTAGTGAGGATCTCATAATGTGGAATACTTTATTTTCGCTGGAATTAATTTTTGCTGAAAAGGCTTTTTGGGCATCTTTTATGGATTTTATTTTCAGTGATTTTTGATGAGTTTAATGTGAAATATAGGAAAAAAAGTATATTCGCTGGATTTTATTTTCACGGAATCATCCCTTCAGCGAAAATAGCGAAAATAAATTCCAAGCGAGAATAAGTACTGTACAGTAGTTTCTTTCGTGATTTTCTCAAATTCTTGTTACTCACAGGCACTGAAGCACAGTGAACTATACATAGTCATATTTATGAACATAAGGGCAATGTAACTAAGTTGAAATTGTTTTGTAAAACTTGTTTTTTTGGAAGAACACTGAAAGAATCTGTTGTAGCAAATAACACTTCCACCGAAGATCAACTCTGCTGTCACTCCGGGTTATTCAAATTTGTGTCTTGTTCATTGTTTATACTGCGATAAAAACGATTGTAGCAACAGTGTTGATCCT